ATATGATTGTTGGGTTTTTCTCTGTATCTATGAAGCGCCTTGAGGCGACTTTTGTTGTGATTTGGCGCTATATAAATAAAATTGAATTGAATTGAATTAAACAATCTTGGCATCAAATTAAAGCTAACACTTGTGAGATTTGATCAGAGGTGTAAATACTACAGCAGATGTGACTGTGTCAGAGTTTCTGAGGCTGGAACATAAAAAACGTTTGTAGATTTTCTTCAACTAAGTTATTTTTTATTTTATTTTATTTAACAAGTAGGGTGACCATATTTAATTTCCAAAGGAAGAATACACTTGGCCCAGTCATAATGAACTTTAATTATACTGTTTGCTTAAAGAAGTTTTTAACATAAAAATGATGCTTTCTCTGTACGGTTAATGAATCGTGAAATTTAAAAAAAAAACGTCTTATAGGCTTTTCAAGTCAACAAGTTAAAAAAAGAGGACTTTTGGTCACCAATTTATAGCCACTTTGAAAATATGATTCACTTCCCATTTAACCAGGAATCAACATGTGAACATTATCTGTGCAAGTAATGATGCTGCTGAAGTGAAACCATGAAAAATTACAGCACTGTTAATGACTACATAGCCATTTGGCACATTTTGCCAATGTGATGGTGTGATGCATTTTGTAATGGTGATTTATTATGTCAGAATCAGAATACATTATTGATCTCTCTCTCTCTCTTTACTAGTCCCCACTAGGGACCCCAAAGCGCTTTACACACCCAGTCATCCACCCATTCACTCTCACATTCACACACTGGTGGAGGCAGCTACAGTTGTAGCCATCGCTGCCCTGAAGAAGTAACTATATAATTAATTGCCCAGCACTGGTCATTATAGACTGTATTTTGCAGACAGAGTTACAGGACTCTTTCCCAGACCACAGACTCATAATACAAGTCAGAGCTTTATAAAAGAAAAAAAGATGTGTTTTCAAAATTGGAATCATAAATGTAAATGCTGTAATTTGATTATTTTAATGAACCATGTAACTTGGATGGATTCGATGCTGGTCTGACGACAGTGCACACCTCTGATGTTGCTCACCGTGGTCCAAGGGACGCTCAGAGAGTTTGTGTGTTCGCTCAGACACATGAAAAATTAAAGGGAACATTGGTTGGTGCCAACCTGCCATAGAAATGTGAGATTAACTAAATATTTAGAATTGTGTGATTTGAAATGTAAATAGATGCTGTGTTAATGTAGGTGACAATATGTCATGATATTGTATATATTATATGTTTGTTACGTCTCCTCGAGGGCAGGAGGGGATAACACAACAACTCCGGAAACTCGGTACAGGTGTTATGAAAAAGGTTTAATGGC